TTATTTTTTTATATATGAGAATGACTTTTTCATTAAATGGTCACCAGCTCCTCAAAAGCGGAAATTGGTGCCGTTTTAAAGTCGGTCTTCTTAAATTTCCTCGTATTTTTTTTCACTTCCTCAATTTCTTCCTCGCTTTTTTCGCTACTTTTTCAATACAAAGGGCCTCGGCTAAAGATTAAACTAATTATAGGTTGGGGGACAGAAGGAGGAGGTGGAAAAATACAGGAAGTGGAAGAAAAAAAGCAGGAGGAGAAGGAGAAGGAGGAGGAGAAAGGAGGAGGAGGGGGTAAAGAAACAAGATGAAGAGGAATAAAGAAGAAAAAGAGGAGGAGCACTAGGAGAAAGAGGAGGAGGAAGGAGAAGACGAGGAAGAGGAACACTGGGATTAGAAAGAGTATAGAGGAAGAGAAGCGGGAGTGAGAGAAGAGAACGAAGAGGAGGAGAAGGAAGAGAACGAAAAAAGGAAGAGAAGAAGAAGGAGCAGGAAGAAATCAAGGAAGAGACGGGAGGACAAACAAGGAGATCGGGGACAAATGAGCCCATAGGGTTGTTTGTTCTAAGGGTAAACACTGGAATTTCTTCATCAAAATGCAAGGACAGGACCCGGAGGTAAAATGCAGACGGAAAAAGGACAGTTTTCTTTTTGAAGCTTGAAGGTAAATACCGGCGAGGTAAAAAGGAAATGATACAGGGACGTTGCGAGGATTATAAACGAGAATAGCAAGATAAAGATTTTTTTTAAATATGGTAAACTGAAATTAAAGTGATGGCAAGATTTCTCAAATATATAAACAATAATACTATGCAACTATACACAAGCACAAGCACACATACACATTCTCTCTCTCTCTCACACACACACACATACATTAAATACATGTATAATTGCATAAGTGCATACATACATACATACACGTGCATAGATGATTACATATACATTCTATACATATCGATATTTAGTATAATGTCAGCTTTCAACATCAGACCCAATAATTCTTTTGTTTTTAAAAAGACCCTCAGATACCCATAAAAAATAGACAGACTCGACCCCCATAGCTTCCCGATTCCTTCCAGATCCGGTCTCACTGCGTGTATCCCTGCGAGTGTGGCACAGTGCCGGATTGTCCTCCGGGAGTGCCAGTCATCATGGACGGGTGCGAGTGCTGCTGGCAGTGCGAGAGGCAGCACGGGGAGTCCTGCAACGGCGCCACCCTCTGCGATGCCTCCAAGTCGCTCTCCTGCGTGTACAACAGCACGGCCGACCCGACGGGCACTTGCCAAGGTAGGTTTCTAAAGGAGCAGCTCGTGGCGAGAGCTCGGCATTCCGTATGCTGACTGTGTTCACAATATATGTGTGTATTTACGTTTTAAGTGTGTACACACATACACACACACTCACACACACACACACACACACACACAACACACACACACACCACACACACACACACACACACACACACACATATAATATTATTATATATATATATATTATATATTATATATATAATATATATAATATATATATAATTATATCATGTATATGTACACACACCTGTGTGTGTGTATATATATATAATATATATATATATTATATATATATATATATATATATATATATTATATATATATACATGTATATTACAACACCGTGTGTGTGTGTATATATGTAATATATATATATATTATATATATTATATAATATATATATATATTATATAATTTATAATATATATTTCATATCAGGTGTGTGTACATATAATATATATATATATATAATATATATATATATATATATATATATATATATATATATAATATATGTATATATATACATAGTACATATATACTATATATAATATATATATATATATATATATTATATTTATATATTAATATATATATATATATATATATAATATATATTTATATATATTATATATATACTATTATATGTATATGTACACACACCTGTATATGAATATATATATATATATTATATATATAATATATATATATATATATATATATATATAATATATATATTATATATATACATATATATATATATATATTATATATAATACATATATATTATATAATATATTATATATATATATATATATATATATATATATATATATATATATATATATATTATAATACCATCGAAGACACAAACCCCAAAAATCACTCACATCAAAAACATCAATTGAAACGAAATTCAACTTTCCCTTCTTTCCACACACAACAAAAAGCCTAAAACTAATTCTACCCTGCCCCCCTCAACCCCTCCCCCCTTCATCCCCTTCTCTCCCCCCTCAACCCTTCTCTTCCCCCTCAACCCCCTTCCCTCAACCCCCCCCACCCCACCCCCTCAACGCCCCTCCTCCCCAACAGAGCCTCGACCGCTCCAAGTGCACGCGGTTCAACAACCAGACGTACGAAGACGGTGAGACATCAAGCCCGACTGCCGGAACAATGCAGCGTGCTTGGTGAGGTTTCCTTCGTCTCTTTTGCTATGATGTGGTTTTATATGCATGTATGTTTATGATATATGTTTATATATATATATAAGTATATATATATATATAATATATATATATTATATATTTATATATATATATATATATATATATATATATATATATATATATTATATATATATATATAATATATATGCATGGTTTAGTTCTTGATGTTTTTTTTTTATGTTTGTTCAGTAAAGTTTGTCGTTATCAGATTGTATATATGTTTTTTTTTCTTATTATTACTATATGTTAGTTTATTTTTTGGTGAATTAATAATAATAAAAATACACAGGCTATTCTAACGCATCTTTTTCTCCATGCCCCATTTCCTCTTCTTCGTCCTTCTTCATTCACGTTTTCCTTTACTTTCTACTGTCTCTTCCATCTAAATCTCTTCTCTCATCTTATATCATCACAACACCTCCTTTTTCTTTTACCACCCTTTCCTCTCTCCTTCCCCCTCTTCTATCTCCTCCTTCCTCCCTTTTCTTCATCTTTTTCCACCTTCTCTATCTCCTTCTCCTTTCTCCCTCTTTCTCATCCTCTTCCCTCCCTTCCATCTCCTTCCTCATTTTCTTCATCCTTCTTCCACCCTCTTCTATCTCCTCCATCATCCTTTTTCTGCCACCCTTCTTTTTTCTCCCCTCTTCTCCCTATTTCTTCTCCCATTCGTCTCCCTCCTTCTCCCCTTCCAGAATGGCACTTACGCCTGTGTGTCCCTGTGCCCCGGCGAGAGTCTTCCTCCCAGCGAGCAGTGCCACGACCCCCACCTTGTCACGGTGCCAGGGCAGTGCTGCAGGGAATGGATGTGCGATACAGCTCCAGGTCGGTATAGTGGAGGTTGAAAAACGACCTTAGTTTATGCTCTGATTATGATGACGATAATAGGTGTAATGTCGGTGTTTCCGTGTGTTATGAGCAATGATGACGGGACGAATGGGGTCGTAATCCTGCTTATGCTGATGTAATGTGGAATATAGATAGACCAAAAAACAGAGAGGTATAGTAATACAGATGATACCGTTCTAAATAAATCCGAGAGACTAAGAGACCTAACCACATAACCACCTTTGACTCACCACATAACCTCCCCTCTCACCCCTTTTCTCCCCTCCCCTCACCCCTCAGAGAAAGTCGTGGGGCCCCCTGCATGCGAGCGCCTCTCTGGCCGGTGGTCCCCCTGCTCGGTTCAGACGTGTGGTTTGGAGTGTCGGTTCGCTGTCCAACGACAACGCCAGCTGCCAGAGTATCAACCAGACGCGCCTCTGTCAGATCAGGCCCTGTACAGACCCTAGGCTTCTGCATACGAGCGAAGAGATACACCAGGATAAGGCAGCAGGCGGAAGGCAAGGAAGCATCATATTAGGGTATGTGGAAGTGGAAGTGTTCTTGATGTTGTTGTTGTTGATGTGGGTAAGTGTATCATGTGTGTGTGTGGGGGGGGGGGAGGGAAGGGTAGCTGTGTATGTCTGGTGTGTGGAGGGATGGGTACCTGTGTGTGTAGGTTGTTGTCTGTGTATGGAGGGTATATGCGAATGTGCGGGTATGTCGTGTGTTAAATATTTCACTGTGGATTTGCCTGTTTCTATCGTATCGGCGTTTATGTGTATACAACTATATGCGTTATTCCTACACCTTTGTTGTCCAAGTACAACCACTTCAACATATCATCATTCTGCTACGAGTTTGCAACGTAGTGTAGTGCTGTTTTGAAATCGGTTGCAAAATGACAGATATGATATTGCAGGACCACATCATACGATCTGGTAAAAAAAAAAAAAAAAAAAAAAATAGATTGTAGTAACGTGAAATGTCTGTGTCACTTACTGTTCACACTGATATATGATGCAGTGATATTGTTGATTGCACATTAATACATATGTATTAATACGTGTTTGTGTGTATGGTGTGTGTCTGAGAGAGAGAGAGAGAGAGAGAGAGACAGAGAGAGAGAGAGAGAGAGAGAGAGCAGAGAGAGAGAGAGGAGAGAGAGAGAGAGAGAGAAGAGAGAGAGAGAGAGAGAGAGAGAGAGAGAGAGAGAGAAGAGAGAGAGAGAGAGCGAGAGAGAGGAGAGAGAGAGAGAGAGAGAGAGAGAAGAGAGAGAAGAGAGAGAGAGAAGAGAGAGAGAGAGTGTTTGTGTGTGTTTGCATGATGAGTGTGTGATTATATATATATATATTATATAATTATTTAATTATTAATATATATAATATATTATATTATATATACTATACTATATTATATATATATATATATATATATATATTATATATATATATATTATATATATATTATAATATATATATGCGTAGATGTGTGCCTGCATGTGTGCGTTTTTTCCTTAATATATACTTATTATTTCTGACTTTGACCAATGCCAGCTGCCTACCCCTGCCCCGCGTGTTTGCAGCGCGGCCACACGTGCAAGGCGACGCAGCGACACGGTGCAGTCGGTGCGCCTGGCGCCGGCTGGTGCATCAGCGAGCGGCGCTTCACCCAAATTGCGGCGACTGCGCGGGGCGCTGCTGCGGCGTGCACACGTCCACCCTCACCGTGGCCTTCCTGTGCCCCGCGCACGCCAAACACGGACCTCCTGGCCGTCTCGCGCGCGCGCCAGCGGGACGCCCCCGGGGCCTTCCTGGCTCGCCTGGGGGCGGCTCTCTCCCGCGTGCCCAGCGTCTACGACATGATGGACGAGGGGCAGCCCGGGGGAGGACGCCCGTGCTCAAGGGCCCCGCCGCGCCCGACGAGGGCCGTGCTGAGCTACGACTACTCCTACGGACGGCGGCAAGGACGAGACGCGTCTCCCCTCCCGCAGGAAGAAGTCTTCGACGGGACAACTAACGGTGGAGGGCGACGAGGAGTACAAGCAGATCAAAAGCCGACAACTACGAGGTCGTGATCACCAGGTGGAAGTGGATCGTCAGGTGCAAGTGCAGCCAACCTGCGACATCCTCGGACACCAGGTATATAAACCCCGGGGGCGGCGCCCGAGGATCACACAGCCCCTGGTCGTCCCTCTCACGTAACGCCCGTGGTGCTCCGAGGGCAGCTCGTCACGTCCTGCGGGTGTTCGCGAACTATCCTGTACAAAGCTGTTCCAGAACTAAGTAACAGAACAATGATGAGAATGTTCCTTTTTTCTCTCAAGATTGATTATTGAAATCTTGTCCGGATAGAAAAAATAATAGAAATACAAGGATAATCATAATGATAATAACAGAGAATTACATACGATATTTTACCTCAGTGACTGAATTCCAGAAAAAGGAGTTTGGTATTTTTGCTTCACCACTTAGAAGTCTCTTGGTATCGTAGGTCAAACTGAATAGAGCGGTGTAGAACAAGCAAGAAGGAGAATGCACTTATTTTATCACTTTGCATTATTCCCAGAGAAGAGATATTACAAAAAAAAAAAAAAATATATATATATATATCACCAAAAACTTTATCAAATATGGCTATAGTGGATGCTTAATATGAACCAGAACCACATCTAAATAAGACCTGACAGAAATTAACAGAAACAAACAAAATGAGAAAAAGATCATTATTTTAATCAATACCCGTGGAATGTAAGTGCACTTACACTTTATGAAAGAAGCATAATCATGTGTTATACCCACTTACCTAAGCACCTTTGCTGTATATTTTAGTATTAGGCTTAATTAGGAACTAGAACCGTGGATAATGAATGGTGCAATTTATGGATCTTCTACGTGAGAATTAGGTTCCCTTATGTATGCATATGTAATGTCGGTGTACTGTGTGGATATATGACGTTTCGAACACTCTCATGCCCCTCTCAGAGTTTGGGATAGAAGTCGTCAGTTCAGAAAATAATTTTTGAATTTTTTTCTTTTTCTTTTTTTTCTTCTTCTGTATGCGTTTATATTTCTTTATATTGAAATGTTATCAACGCTAGAGAAGATTCTTCCTTTTTGTTTACTTTCTTTGTTTTGATTGTCTTCGTGGCAATGCTCTATACTTTATAGCATATCGATTTATGAATTGTCTGTAATGGGTACTTCTCTATTTTATTATGGCTAATAATCGTTCACTTGTTAGTACTTTACCTTATCTATCTTATTTCTTTTCTTTATTATTTGATATTCTCATTTTCATTTTGACATCAAGTGTCGTCTTCTATTACCTCCTCATTCCCTTAAGAACACCAATTGAAAAGACATCCGAAAGTGAGCAAGGATGTAAATAAGAAAATCAAGTTAGCTACTTTTTGATACTATAGAAATAATCGTAATTATTATCATTGTTATTATCATCTTTATTACTATTCATTATCATTGGTATCATTGTTATTATCAATCTTTTGGCTTTTATTATCATTGTTGATATGATGATCATTATTTATGATTATTGTTCCATTATTGTTGCTGTTGTTACTTTTTCGTTATTATTATAACTGCTATGATTATAATGATAATAATAGCAATAATAATAATAACAATAACGAAAATGATATGAATAAAGATACTAATAATGAGAAGAATATGAATAAAAACAATGATAATATAATAATAGTAATGATGTTGAAAATAATACTCCTAATCATAACCACAACCATAACAACAATAATAGTAATAATGATTATAATAACGATGATAATGTTAATAAAGATAATACCAATAATCCTATCACGAATAACCCAAAAAATGTTTACAAAACACGATATTAAAAATTAAAGAAAAAAAATCTTCCCCTTAAAGTTTCTAAGAATCTTCTAAGACCATTCGAGATTGGAGAGTCGAACCTATAAAATCACAGGTCATCTTTCACCCTGGGATTATCCCTTCGTCTAGCTTTGATGGCCTTAAGCTAAATTGCCACGGTGTTGGAGCGAACCTTTGGGGAACTAGGAGTGGCGGGGTTTGAAGATGTCTTACTTTTTCCTTGTTTCTTTTCCTTTTTGCTTCTGTTTTTCTTCTTTTCTTATTTATTTTTTTCGTTTTATTTTCTTATTTGATGTTGGTTTGTTTTTCTTTCTGAACAGATTTTTTTTTTACTTATTCACTCTTTTCACTTATAATTTTCTTATTTTCATACGTAAACAAACTTCAACTATTTTTTTTTCTGAAGTCGATAAATAACCAGATAAAAGGGGACAGAACAACGGATGAATACCTCATACAGTTAATACAAGAATATACAAAAATATATCCACACGGCCAGAACTCACGAACGCTCCCTGGTCAGTCACCATAGGCTTAAAAGCTTTAATCTGATTTCTTTCTGAAGTAGGAACTAAAATAGGCCTATTGGGATGAAGTGGTATCTGCAACGTTAATTTCCCTCGTGTGATGTGATGTGTGTGTGTGTGGTGACGCACATGTGCCTTTGCAGGGTTTGTCTGCAACCATTATTGTATCAGCATCACAGACTTAAATAAGTAAATAAAAATATGACTTTTAATAATACTGTGCGGATGTGTATGTCCATTGTAGACGCGACACATTTTATGTTATGTAAATTAGTATTACTGGATGATAAAAAAAGAATGTTCTCAGGTTTGTGGTTTCGAAAGGATGAGGAGATGATGGAAATAATGTGAAGGGCTTTCCATCAAGAGTAGAATTTAAAAAAATCATTCAAAAAAAATAATTAGGAATACTAAACATGGTTCTGAAAGCAGTGATTTAAGCATTTTATTATCATCACCTGTCACTGTTGTGTACTTCATAGACAGGATAGTGTTATGCTTATTCTTAATTCTTAATACTTCCTGTTTTTTCTCTTCTCTTTCTTATATTCCTTTGACTCTACAAAATATGCTTACCTTCCACTCTCCATTTAATTCGTATAGATGCAAGGTATTTTTAATCGGTCATTCCCTTAATTAAAAGTTACCTGTAGCCTTATAAAGACGATATCTTGTATTGATAAGATAACTGCAATTACTAAAGGTCTAGTAATAATGATGGTAATGATAATAATGATTATTATTATTATTAGCATCATCATCATTATGATAATGTGGTGGTGATCCTGATCATGGTTGTTACTATCATCACCATTATTATTCCAATAAATATCATTATCATTATTATTACTATTATCATTATCAACAATTAATATTATCATCATTATCATTGATACTCTTGCTACTATTATCATAATCATTATCACTATTATTACCATTATCATTGCTATTATCATTGTTATCATAATTATTGTTATTATTAATATTATTATTGTTATTATTATTATTGTTATTATTATCATTATTATTATTATTATTATTATTATTATTATTATTATTATTATTATCATTATTATT